TATCTCTCACTCTCTGGGATAACCACACTCTTGCCCTCCAGAGCTGGGTCATCTTTTAAATATTTGTGGACTGATGGCTTCAGCAATTTTTATTTCAATTTAAAATTTATTTTATTTTTTGTAGTACTGGGGTTTGAACCCAGGGTTCCAGTACCATTTGAGCCATATTCCTAGTCATCTGTATTTTGTTTTTGAGACAGTGTCTTGCTAACTTTGCTCAGGCTGGCCTTGAACTCAAGATCCTCTTGCCTGTGCCTCCCAAGTACCTGGGATTACAGGTGTGCACCACCACACCGGGCTTGTCCCAGTGATTTGCATTTGCATCTGGGTATTCTCACGAAGTGTCGCTTCCTTTCCAATGTTCCTTGTCAGTATTTCTCTTTTTTTGGCAATTTCCAGTCGGGGAACTGAACCCAGGGCTTGTGCATGCTATGCAAGTGCTCCACCACTGAGCTACAGCCTTAGTCTTGTTGATAATTTTTTTTTCATAAGTTTTGGGTTCAAGTCCTTTGCCTTTCCTCTCTGTGGAGAACTGAATCTTTTTCTTACCAGTGTCACTCCCTGGTGAGGCAACCCTGGTTACATTAGGTTGGTTAGATGGCAAAAATATTTTGCAGCAGTCAAGTTACAAATCAGCTGATCTTAAAATAGGAAGGGATCTGAATCATCTGATTCAATGTAATCACATGAGCCTGAAAGGCATCTTTGGGATCTCTTAGGAATCAGGTCACCATAATGGATTTGGCAATGACTTTTTCGGGTATGCCTACAAGCCATACAACCAGGAACACTGGACTTCATGAAAATAGAAAATATTCACCTGAGATCAGGAGGATTGAGGTTCCACGCCAGCCTGGGCAAAAAAGTGAGACCCCCCCTCCCAACAACAAAAACAAGTTCTTGGCATGGTGGTAAGTGCCTGCCATCCCAGTGATGGTAGGAAGCCTAATGTAGCAGGATCACGGTCCAGGCCAGCCTGGGCAAAAAAGTGAAACCCTGTCTCTAAAATAACCAGAGCAAAAAGGGCTGATGGAGTGGCTCAAGTGGTAGAGCACCTGCCTAGCAAGAGTGAAGTACTGAGTTCAAGGTCCAGAACCACAAAAAACAAATAAAAAAACCTGCCTATCAAAAGACAGTACCAAGTCACAAGCCAAGATGGTGGCGGTGGTCGGTATCTCCTTGAGGCGCTGGTTCCCAGCCACGACCCTTGGTGGAGCCTGCCTGATGGCCTGCTGAGGGGCTCAGACAGCTGCAGCCACAGCTCCTCACATCCAGGAATTTGCCATCTACCAGTGGGACCCAGACAAGCATGGAGATAAACCTCGTAGGTAGACTTGCGAAGTTGATCTGAATAACTGTGGTCCCATGGTGTTGACTGCTTTAATCGAAGTTAAAAATGAAATTGATTCGACCTTGGCCTTCCGAAGATCATGTGGAGAAGGGATCCACGGCTCTTGTGTGATGAACATCAATGGGGATGACACTAGCGCTCCCCCCAGGATGGACCCCAACCTCAACAAAGTCTTGAAGATCTGCCCTCTTGCGCCCACGTACGTGACGAAGGACTTCGTTCCTGACCTGAGTGACTTCCAATCACCGTCCAAGTCCATCGAGCCCTATCTGAAGAAGACGGATGAGTCCCAGGAAGGCAAGCAGCAGTACCTGCAGTCCGCAGAAGAACAGGAAAAACTGGACGGGCTGTCCGAGTGCATCCTCTGCGCCTGCTGCAGCCCCAGCTGCCCCAGCAACTGACAGAATGGGAACAAGTACTGGGGCCCGTGGTCCTTGTGCAGACGAATGCCTGGCCAAGCTGCAGGACTCCTTCCCTCTGTACTGCTGCCACACCATCATGAACGGCACACTGACCTGTCCCAGGGAAGCTACTGCAGAAATTAAGAAAATGAGAGCAGCCTATAAAGGAGAAGGGAGCCTTAGTGTAACTCTCCAGCTGGACACTGCACAGCCAGCTCAGAGCTGGACTAACTTGAATTCTTTCAGCGGTCTTGATTGCCCATGATGACAGCAGGTATAACACAAATGGTAAGTAAGCAAATGGGATTTTACGTTATTTAAAAAAAAGACAGTATTAATAGAGTAAAAGGTAACCCAGGGTGAGAGAAAATATTTGCAAATCATATATCCAAGTATATAGAGAACCCCTTAAATTCAACAACAAAGTCATAAACTGAGTGAAAAATGGGCAGAGGAGTTGAGTAGACATCGTTTCACGGAAGATGTCTGACGGGCAGGAGAAATATGACCACCAGTGACCAGGGAAATGCACGTCAGAACTGTCACAAGACTGCCTCATACCAACTAGGACAGCAACAACTAACGTCCCCCCCCCCAAATTCCTAAGAGTTGGTGAGCACAAGGAGAAAGTGAGACTCGTGTACACTGCTGGGGATGTAAAATGAAACAGTCACTGTGGAAATCAATATGGCGGTTCCCAGAAAATCGGAATAGGACTATCATATGACCTAGAAACTCCACTTCTGGGTGGACACACGCCCTCCCCAATTGAAAGCAAGGTCTCAGAGAGATTTGTGCACTGTGTTCACAGTGTCATTAATTCACAGTAGACAAGCGGTGGAAACAGCTCATCAATGAATGAACGCATAAGCAAAACATGGCATACACATGCAACAGAATATTATTTGGCCTTAAAAAAGGAAGGAACTTGGACACAAGTTACAATGTAGATGAACCTTGAGGACATTATGGTAAGTGACATAATCGGGTCACAAAAAGACAAGCACTGTACGATTCCACTTGTACGAAGTACCTAGAGTAGTCAAAACCACAGAAGGTAGAAGCCAGGTGTGGTGGGACTGTAATCTCAGCACTCGGAAGGCTGAGGTAGGAGGAGTGTGAGCTCAGGGCCAGCCTGTGTTATAGCAAGACGTGTCTCAAAAAAAAAAAATTAAACCAAATTGTAAATTTAAGAATGGGATAGAATTTCAGTTTTTCAAGATGAAAAAGTTCTGGAGATGGACGGGGTGATAATTGTATAATGTCGTGAGTGTATTTAATACTACCGAGCTGTACACTTAAAAATGGGGCAAACACAGATGTGGCTGAAAGGAAAATCAGAGAGGTCTGAAGCACCTGCTGCATATTGAAGTTGTCATTTGAAGCTGAGAATTCAATGTGCTCTTGGTGGCTGTAGTGAAGGTGGGGCCACAATGGAAAGAACATGGCGGTCCCCAGGAGCCGAGAACCGCCCTCGCCAACAACACCCAGCAAGTCAACGTGGACCTTGGTCCTGGTCCCATGGAAGTGAATCGTGCCAGCATCCTGGATGAACCTGCAAGTGGATTGTCCCAGCCTCCAGTAAGAGCCCAGGGTGGCCACACTGGGGCTCCTGCCCTGTGAGGCCCTGAGACAGGAACCCAGTCCAGTCACGGGACTTCTGACCTCCAGGACAAAAGATAACGAATGGGAGTTGTTTTATGATGAGCTTGTGGTAATTTGTCATAGTCTGTTATGGGTTGACTATGAAATGTCCCCCACAGGCTCACATACTGGGGGCTTTGTTGCTAATTGATGGGTTTTTGGGAAGTGATTAGATCCTGATGGTTCCAATCTAATCAGTGGACCAGTCCCTAGATGAAGCTGTAACAGGGTGATGTTATTGGGAGGTGGTGAAAGTAGGGGGTGGGGCCTAGTTGGGAGGAACTAGGTTGCAGGGTGTGTCCTTTGGGGCTGTATTTTGCCTTGGCCCCTTCTGAGGCAGGCTAGATTAGGGACATTGAGGCATGGGAACCAAGAGCTAAGAATAAGCACCGTATTAAAGGGTAAGAAGGTGGTGAATTTAACTAAGATACAGTGTAAGCCCTTTTGCAAATGTTACAGTGTACGACCAACACAAAATAATATGATAGTTAGAAAAAAAGATAACTTGAACGCTCTCACTTCCCATCAGGCTATAATAGCAGCGGATGGTGCTCTTAATCTTGCACTAATGATTTGCCCGGAACTCTGGATAAATAGCCCAGCTCAAGAAAAACACATGGTAAAATCCATCCTCCGATTAAAAGAGGCTTGGTTGACGGAGAATAGGTATCTCCTCAAGATGGGCTTTTCTGCCCCAAACAAGTGTCTTCTAAAAGAAAGCACCTGGCAGATTCTCAAACAAGTATCACCTTGTCCATTAAGGAGCCCTGGTCTCTGGGAGTCCCAAGCTGATCAGTTTCAAAAACCTAAGATGTAATTTAAGGATGGTTGTCACAGCAAATGTGAACATGCCAAATGGTTGGAAGGAAGAAGCCTGTACAGAGACAAGGACCTGAAGACCCCTAGACAGACCGCAGTTTTATAAATGTTTGACTTACACAAAGGACTTGGCGCTTCTCACGTGTCCCGCCTCCGGCTTCCTGGGGTGGGCTTTGTTTCCTGTTTTTCTAATTACAATTCTACAAACGTCTCACGTACCCAGACTTCTCGTATTCTTCCTCTCTGCCTGAGTTGAGCTGCTGTGCTATGCCCGCCATCTCCGCCAGGATGGACTGAAACCTCTGAAACAATGAGCTAAAATAAATCTTTCCTCCCTCCAGACGTTTGTTTCAGGTATTTTGTCACTGTGACAAAAGTCTAATATAGTTTCTATACATTAATATTGAAAACACTTTAAATATATTGTAAATATTTTTCAAGTGCGTCATTTGTGTTTGAAATCTTTACCCTTAATTATATTTAGTTTTCCTAAATTCATTATCGGAGGCTAAACTCAAGTTCCATTTTTGGGGGATGACCTTTGTCGACTCACCTGCATCAGAATCACTCAGAATGCTTGATAAAACATTCCTGGGGCTGGGGTGCAGCTCAGTGGTAAAGTGCCTGCCTAATCATTTGCATTGCATAAAAGTTTCCAGGTGGTACTCAAAGTTCCAGGTCCTCAAAATTCCAAGCCTGGGGAACGAAGCGAAGCCCCACCCCAGGAGGCGGGGCTCTAGAAGCTCCGCCTCCACGCGTGAATCCTCCCTTCTTATTGGCTGGCAATGAAGTGCCTCTCCCTGCGTCACAGCGGTCGCTCCTCCTCCCGAACGCCGGCGGGCTTTGCGCCTGCGCAGTGGAGTCGGGCGCTCGCCGGGTCTTGCGCTTCTGGAGGGTCCCGAACCGCGTGTGGCTACGGGATGGCGGAACCCCGGGCCGAGTCCGAACCTCTTTTGGGCCGGTTCCGTGGCGGCAGTGGTGGCAGCAGCGGCGACTGCCCGCCGGGGCTACTCACTTGCCGCAGCGTCCAGGTCGGCCCTGGTGAGTGGCCCGGCTTGGGGGAAGGGTCCTGCGGTCCCCGCGCCCGTGTCGCTGCGGGGCCCGGCGCGTGGCAGGGTTGGGGACGCCAGGGTCGTGTCCCCACCCCCGCAGCTTCCTTCCGAACCGGGCGGGCCTGACCCCGGACTCTCCAGAGTTGCCCCAATGACTCTTTAGGAGGCAGCACTTTCATTTTTTCCGCTTCTCATGGGGAAACTGAGGCCCGGAGAGAGGCGGTACCCTGCCCGAGTCTAAGCTGGTGGGGGGGCTGGAGGGGGTTCCAGCCAGCGAGGAGTGACTTTGGAGCCCTGTGGTGGCCTTTCAGGTGGGGCAGGCACAGGCGTCTTGAGAGCAGGCGGCTTCCTCCCCTTGCTCCTTGCACTGCTGCGCTGGCCTTCGGCTCCCTCCTGCCCTTCCTGTTTGTGGTCAGAGAGATTGCTGAATCCTCAGAGGCGGGGAGGGTGGAGTCCATGTCCCTGTCCATTCCAGGGAAATTAGGCGCTGGCTTAGAGGCGGAAGGACCTCTGTCTGATTTTACAAATGAGGAAACTGAGGCCCAGAGAACCACCCCTCCTCCCCAAGGTCGTAGTCCCGCCTTCCTTCTGGTGTAGCCACTGCTAGTAATGCACTGGCCCTTCATGCCTGGCGACTTCCCTCTCTGGTCCTTGCTGTCCTCTTCTGTCTGGGAGGGGACTGGGTAGGCAAGTGGACCCCTCTGGATTGATTCATGGCATGTGCCCATCCATGGATGTGCGTACAGGGGTCCTGACTGGGGAGCAGGAAGGCAGAGGCAGAAGTGACCACACTGTCTGCCTGTCGCCCTTGGAGATTCTTTGGTTGAATCCTGGGCCACATATCTTTCCAGCCCGTGCCAGTGCCTGCAGCTCCCTTGACAAGGAGCAGGAGTACGGTTCAGGGGGCACAGGCTTTGTGTCTGGGGCTGGATGCCTTTCTGGGGCTGCCACTTGTATGCTGTGTGACCTTGGCAGGTTGCTTGGCCTTTCTGAGTTTCTGTAAAAGGAGGGCTAGTAATGGGCTGGCAGAAAGTGAGTGTGTGTGGGGGGCGGGGTGGGTGTTCTGAGCATTCAGTGAGAGAATTCACAGAGCTGGTGTGTATGGGCTGACGGCTGTCGAATGCCACAGTGCTTGCAGGTGCTAGTCCTGGCGGAGTGGATGTGTGGCAGACAGGATCTGCTATGGTGAGACAAAAGCCAGGGTTGGGCAGTGTGGCTGGAGAGAGGGGCTCTCTGTCCCAGTGCTGTGGCCTTGGCGAAGACTGCTGAGAAAGCAGACAGGACGCTCTGTGTTTGCGTCTCCTTGGCCAGTCTGCCTGTGAGAATGGTTCACAGCCTCTACTTCAGCACCCGTGGCACAAAGATAGCCCCTGGGCTCTTGGTTTGTCTGTCCTGTGGTCAGACTCTCTAGCCAGTAAGGGGGGGCTGTTGCCTGGGGATCCCTGGGAACCCTGTGTCCAGGTCCTTCTGACTCAGCCCCAGCTGGGGGCCCTGGCCAAAGGTTGGGGAGAATGGTTTTCTCTGGTTTTGGGTCAGAAAGTCACCCTGGTTGTGAAAGAGTGAGGACTGGGGATTACTGTGTTGTCTGAAAGGGGGGGGATTCCACAAAGCACGGTATCTCAGGAACCCTTCCATCTATAAGTCCTGTTGGGTAGGGTCTGCAAGGAGCTGAGGCACAGAGAGGTTAGGGGCTTGCCCAGAGTCACACAGGATGCTGGGCAGGGTCCTATACCAGTTGTGCAGGGTGGAGGCTGGAGCAAGCTGGAGAGTGAGTGTGCACCTAGATGTTGGGGCAGGAAGACCCATCCAGGGCTAAAGTGTGGGCTGCATTGTTTGAACCCCTGTTGTTGTCTCCCTATACTTGGCAGCTTCATTATGACCCTATGTGCTTGGCAGAGTCCTCAGCCCTTGTGGGGTGATTAGGGTGATGAGCTCAGGGCAGGTTGATTGCTTTGGGGGCGCTCCTGGACCTTGGGGGATGGTGGCCTGGAAGAGGCAATGGTCTGGGCCAGGCTGTTGGAGGGTCTGGTGAGCCAGGCCTTGGAGAGTCAAGTTCAGAATGACTGACATGGTGGTGGCAGGGTAAGGGAGCAGCGGGAGAAGGGATGAGTGTGTGGAACGGGGCCCTGCAGTACCTGGCTGGGTGGAGTGTGGACTTGGAGTAGTGGGACCCAGGGATAGCTGTGACCCAGGGACAGCTGTGGCAAGTTTCCTAGGGCTCTGAGGAGCTTCCTTAGGGTGCTTGAGGCTGAGAAGCCTTCCTGAGGCATGGCACCTGAAAGTGGGGGGAGTTTAGTGGCCAGACCTGGAATCTTACAAACCCACCAGCCAGAAAACTAGGCAGACGGGAAGCCTGGCGCTGTAGGATTCAGGGTGCTGACACCATTCCCCTGTTGGCTTGCCTGGGTGACATGGGCTTTGTCTCTTCCTAAGAAGCTTGTGTGGTTCACCTCTCAGGTTCAGGGGTTCTCTTTGTTAACGTGGGCTCCCTGCCTCCTGACCCATTCCCCTAGCCTGCCTCATTCACTCACTGGATAAATAGGCTTTTGAGTTCTGCTGGGTTCAGGAACCAAGCAGTGTGGGAGTAGCTTCTCCTCACAGCCATTCCAGGACACTCTTGGGGTGTTCTGGCACCAACCTCAGGCCCTCGTTGGGAAGCATTTAGGGGACCTCAGGATAAGCCTTGTGGTAGCACCTGTGGAAAAACTGAGGCCCAGGCTGAGCAAGGCTGGGGCAGAGCCAGGATGGGGGCCCCCACATCTTCACTTGCTTCCTGTATCCTGCTTCTGCTTCATGAACCCAGGCATGAGCCCTGAGGACCAGAGCAGGTGCTTCTCCAGGGACCGTGGGCACAGTGGGTTGGCAGAGGCTGAAGCTTTGCCTGAGCCCCAAGCAATGGCTTCCTGCCCCTTTGCTCTAGCAGCTCTTTGAGGCGGGCACATCCCTGCATTGTTTTGGTGAAGCTGTGGGTCTCAAGGGGACAGATGTAAAAGTAGAGCCATGAACTGGCCACCTTGTTTCTGGCTCGGGCCTGATGTGAGTTGCCTGAGCTGCGTGTAGGCTTTGGTCCCCAGGCCGCCCTGCCGGTGTCTCTTTTGGGTCATGGAAGTGTGAACCTGAGCCTCCAGGTTCCCCTGCTGCTCTGGGCCTCTTTCTTGTGCTTTTTTTCCCCCTTGTGTTGCAAGTTGAGTTGCAGCTTCTGCAGTGAAGCTCCCAAATGGGCCTCTGCCCACCACGAGGGTGGGCAGGCCCAGGCCCTGGCACCTGCGGAGTGTGCTGGCTGCTGTTTGGTGGTGGGGATGGGCTGGCGAGCAGGTTGTGTCCTGTACAGCCAGGAGCCAGCTGCCTCCCTCACCCAGGCCTGCTGGAGGCTACACCACCTGCACTGTGAGAACCCATTGTATAGGGGATGGCCATGCTGAACAGTCCCCCTGGGGACTCGAGCACTCCTTGGGATTTGCTCTGGATGATCCTGGGGTGTGTGTGGGTGTTGCCTGATCCTGTGGGCCAGGGTGGGGATGGACTGGGACTTGACTTGTTCTCATGTTCGGTGCAGGCAGGACTGTGCCTTTGGTCCTAGATGCAGTTTCTGTGTCGGGGTGAGATCTGTGGTCTCGTTGGATGGAGGTGGGCAGGTGGTGTTAGCCCATCTTACAGTGGAAGATGCTGGTGCTGCACAGGAGGCTGGAGGAGGGAGGGGCAGCACAGCAATGGCAACAGCCCCACACTGAGCACAGTGTGCCAGGCCCAGCAGGGGCTCCTTGTACCGCACAGCACCTTCTGGGGTGCTGAGCAGGTGGCCAGTGACACCCACTGGACAGAGGTGGAGATGCCTCCAGAGGAGAGGAACCAACCCTGAGCCCCACATCTGGTACCAGTGCTCTGCAGAATGTTGCTGCCTCCTGTGTGCCCTCTGTACTGTGTCCCCTGGGCAGTGCTGTTGTGGGCCTCTTCTCTGGGCCTGGTACCCTGGGTGCCTGCTTCTATGCTCCTCACCTGGCTGGGACCCCACCCTGGGCCCAGCAGGTGTCCTGTGCTGCACTGCAGGGTGGGGGCCTCTGGTGCAAGCCACAGCTCACCTCCTCCAGCTGGGTTGTCCTGCAGGGGCGAGGCTACTCTATCCCGCGTGCTCATCTGGAGTATCCCCCTCTGCTCACAGATGGCGTGGCCTTGCAGGACCTCTGCATCAACCAGGCTGTGGTCTTCATTGAAGATGCTATCCAGGTGGGTGGTGGCTGCCATGCTGGCCTAGAGCTTCCCCTGCCCCCTCATTCCTTGCTGTCCTGGGAGCAAGGGCTCGGCTGCTGGCCTGCAGGTTAGGAGATCTGTGACAGTGGGGCTCTGGGCCTGTTATCCCTCCATTCTTGCTAGAGAAGGCGATCTTCTGAATGCTGGAATCCTGGCATCGTCAATTTCCCACAGACTGCCGCCTGTCCTGGACCACTTGTGCTGGGTCCTAGGTGGGGAGATATCTGGAGAATGATAGTTTATCCGAGTGGGGGGCAGCACAGTTGTACCTTCCACAAATACCCTTAAGTGTCCCCTCGGTGTACCTGCCTGCCAGGTGTCTGGCCTATGGGGAGTTTGTGACGGTCTAAGCCTGCAGGTCCAGGGAAGGGCCACCTTGTCCCCATGCTGACACGGGCCTGCCACACAACTCATCTCCCCAGCGGGGAGAGTGGTGCACTGTGACTGTGTGGTATGGGGCCACAGGTCAGGGCACACGCGTGTGCAGTCCCGAGGGCACCCTCTCTCATGCCCCTCTGTGTGAACCTCTCGCTTCCAGTACCGCTCCATCTACCACCGCATGGACGCCAGCGCGATGCGGCTTTACCGATGGTATTACTCAAAGGGTTGCCAACGGTGAGAATGCAGAACTTGGGGTTCCTGCAGGCCTACTTGGTGGGGGTGGGCTGGCCTCACTGTTCACTGTCCCATCCTGTCTCGTGGTCCAGGTGGCTCTCCTTCCCTATGATGCAGGTTTGGCCATTATCCTTCCCCGTCAAGGGAGGAGTCCACCTGTGGACAGAAGGCTGCTTGGCAGTGAGGGCTTCCTTCTCTTCCTCAGAGCCTTGGGTTGGCCCAGGGCCATTGGTCTTGGGCAGATTGGTCTTACTTGGCCAGGCATGGGTGGCCATAGCCAGGAATTCCAGCTTCCACCCTCCTGGAATCATGGAGTCTCCTCTAGGGCATCTGCCTGCTGGTAGGCTTCCTGGCCCTGGATGTTAGCTGTCTGTGGCACTTTAACCAGGTTTGTCTCCTCCAGGGTTCTGAACTTCACCATTTTCTTGATCCTGGCTTTGGCTTTTATTGAGACCCCTTCTTCATTCACAAGAACCGCAGATGTACGCTACCGCTCCCTGCCCTGGGAGCCACCCTGTGGCCTGACCGAGGGTGTGGAGGCGCTCTGCCTGCTAGTCTTCCTGGCTGATGTCTCTGTGAAGGTGAGATGGGTGG